ATTAAGTAACGCATGCATTTTACATGGCGAAATAAGATAAGCGTGCATTTAAGCTACGGGTGCATTTTACATGGCGAAATAACTATATGCAAGGCTTAATACATCTACACGACGTGTGAAAGCTTGACAGTGGCCGACATTTTACTTGGTTAAATCGCTTACTTGAAATAAATTTACTTTAAATTAAGTATCACATTTTGAGTACCGTAAAATCATCCGACAATATGCCCCGGCAGGGCTTATATTTTTCAAAGGCCCTTTTTTGAGGGGCTTATTTTTGGAAGGGGCTTACATTGGGAGGGAAATTTGTGTTTCAAAATCGATTGGGCTAGCCTTATAGTTGGAAGGAAATTTATCGTTTTTGCTTTGTTTTACTTTGTATTTGAGGGCAATTTTCCAAGTACAAGCCCCGGGGGGCTTATATTTGGTGGGGCGATTTAACAGAGTTTTTTTTTGCGTCACCTGTTTGGTGGGCTTATATTTGGAGGGGCTTATTTTCGGAATTTTACGGTATGCGATGAACGATAGCTTTTGAATCGGAGAAATACTACTGTCCCCAACCAATGGGTAGGAGAGAACCCTGGGAACGAGGGTTCCACGCCTCGCTTTAAAATATGGCGGATGGGATTGATCTGACGGATTTTTTCGCACGACCTAGAAATTCTCTACTTGATCTATCAGGGAGATTACAGTGTAATGCGAGCGAAGATACTCTTGATTTTGTAAGCTTCCGTTTACAGCAAATACTGCAGCAATAAAACGGGATGGTAGGCCTACACGACTTTTACCTCATGCTAAAATTCTGCTTATTCCCATAAAGGTTTTTTTTCTCTGCTGGATAGATTATGCACTGGACGGTTCTACATTTTCACCGAGTAAATGTGATTTAAGCAACATGTTTCACACTGAGAGGTCATAACATACATATCGATTTACTCTAGTTATTGTTTCTGGTCGGCAGGATTTGCCCTCTGATGCAAGCGCATTTTCTTTGACCTCCTTTTTAAGCGTAAAGCTTTTTTATTACGGCTCATGATAAGGGTTTCAATTTTCTCCAAAGTGCCTTCTGGATCTGAATAACTAAGCGATTTTCTTTAGTCCGTGAGTGTAATGTTTTTCTGCAATGCTGTATCACGCTGGGCCCAGCTCGTTAGTTTTCTTTGCAGAATGTTAAATTTTCACGGATAGTGATTTACAGATCCAAAATTATAAGAATGAAGTGCAGCTTAAACTGAAGCTACATCAACTTACTATGGAGAATTGAATTGTGACTCAGTAAACTCCAGCTTAGTGTTTTCTAAAGATAGTGTGAGTCTTTTGACTGGAGCTGTAGTTCCCCCCTTGGTAATAGCTTTTGAATAAAGCTTAAACTGTTTTGTTATTGCCACTTTGTGATCAGGCAAGACCATGGTTCGGTTCTCCACACGAACCTCATCAGTTGCCGGGTTGGCTTTGTGCTTAGTTTCTTTTACAAGAGCAACTTTAGTTGTACTTGCGGCGTTGCTAAAACAAGGGTAAGGGTAACACCAAGGGTAAGGGTGAGGGTAAGGGTGAGAGTAATCTATTGAGCTTTGAACTTGAATATAAATACCCCGGTGGCGGATCGAAATTCTTGTTTTCCTATTCGCTACTGAACGTAACCAATTACGGAGTGTGTATTTCGATCCTCTTCTGCTTCAAGCTAGAGGTATGTTTTTTTTGGAAAGCATTTCTTGAAAATTTAAGCACTTCCTTTTCTGGAAGAGTTCGAAGACTCTTGTAAATAAGTGCGCACAGAGTATCCGTACAGTCCCTCTAAAAACTAGAGTGGATACGTTCCTTGTTAGGTGCGCAATGTTGAACTTTCTACTCTGTGCTTGGTTCTTATTAGTGCCTGTGTTGATTTTCATAAGTTAAAACGGGGCCCCAAATGCTAACTTTCGAGTACTGGAATCTCGCGTGCTACCTTGAACTTCAAAAGTGGCGTTCTGGCGTCGGCGACCTGACCTCTCGGACGTAAACACATGCGCAGTATATTCACACTAGCGCGAGTGACTTCCGGTCGGCGTTCTTAACCTCAAAAACGTCTAGTGCTTATAAGCTCTCTACTTTCTACTTTCTACTTCTGATGGACCCGCAGCACGAGGGGTGAGGGGGCGGGGAGATGAGTTTTGGGGTCCGAGGTCTGAGTTTTCCAGGCCTGAGTTTACTAGACACCCCCATCAAACAGTAGTACCGTATTTATTCGATTAACCGCCCTGGGCGCTTATTAAATTTTTGGACCTTGAGAGTGGGCGCTTATTCGAGGCTGGGCGCTTATTAAATTTTTACCATTTCAAGTAAGTGAAGTATGTTTATTTTGCAACAAATGCTAATAACAAAACGCGAAGAAGTAACAAAGCAAGGTTTCTGTAAAATACTCTGAAGAAAACTCCGTCCCCGGGGAAGTCTCTTATTAGAATTTATTCACTCAAGTGTGTGGGGTGGGGTGAGCCGGCTTATTTGAGTTTGATTGAGAGGAGGAGGGGGTGGGCGCTTATTCGAGGCTGGGCGCTTATGAACTTTTTCGGCTTTTAGGATGGGCGCTTATTCGAGGGGGCGCTAATTCGAGGTTGGGCGCTTATTCGAATAAATACGGTATTTCTCCGATTCAAAAACGATAGTTCATCGGATTCTTCGCCATCAATTCAAAATAAACACGACTCTCGTGTATTTAAAATGTGATACTAATAATATTTAAGGTAACTTTTATTTCATAACCAAGTAAAATGTCGGCTACTGTCAAGCTTTCATATACGTCGTGCAGATGTATCAAGCCTTCATATTTGGCCATGTAAAGTGCATGCGTTTAATATTTAATTCGCCATGTAAAATGCATGCGTTACTTAATTCGCCATGTAAAATGCATGCGTTACTTAATTCGCCATGTAAAATGTATGCGTTACTTAATTCGCCATGTAAAATGTATGCGTTACTTAATTCGCCATGTAAAATGTATGCGTTACTTAATTCGCCATGTAAAATGTATGCGTTACTTAATTCGCCATGTAAAATGTATGCGTTACTTAATTCGCCATGTAAAATGTATGCGTTACTTAATTCGCCATGTAAAATGTATGCGTTACTTAATTCGCCATGTAAAATGCATGCGTTACTTAATTCGCCATGTAAAATGCGTGCGTTATTTCAATTCGCCATGTAAAATGCATGCGTTACTCGATTCGCCTTGGAAAATGCATGCGTTATTTTAATTCGCCATGTAAAATGTATGGGTTATTTTAATTCGCCATGTAAAATGTATGGGTTATTTTAATTCGCCATGTAAAATGTAGCACTTAATTTTGACCCCAAAAAAGCGCCATACTACCCAGATCTGGGTAGTGACGCCTCATCAGTATGGGATTTCTGTGCTCGTTTCTCAGACGTCATTTGACGGGGAAACCAGTTGTAGCGTCGCCAAATGTCGGCTGTTTTCTCGGGCTACAGGGGGAGAGGTTCTAACCAGGATCTAAAGTGGTGTATCATTGAAGGAAGTGAAGAAAAATTGATTTCGGAGATTTCGATTCCTAGCGCACGATGCTCTCACAGTCAACAGTATTATAACCAATGTCTGAATACATACTTAATTTATCGACGCGGAGTGTGGTGCTTTCTGAGGGGCCGTTTAAATTTTGACTAGCTGGTGCGAAGTCTGAAGCGGAAAATCTTCGGAGCCGCTCGGATCTGATTTTCCCGGAATTTTCGGAGTTTGCCGATTTCTCCCAGAGCCCGCACACCCGACCCACCGACCTCATTTCCAACCCCCTTCCGGCCGAAGATTCTCAGTTCCAGACCTTCCCACTGCTGACAGCACGATTCAAAATGACCGCGATAAAAAAAATATATATATAATAATAATAATAATAATAATAATAATAATAAATAAATGAATAACACCACGAGCGCGCATCGATAAGTTAGTAATGATTATTCACTGATTATGGTCTAATTGGTTGTGAGAACCCCTGCGTGCCAGTTCAACTCTTAAGGGAATGTTTAGAGGTCTTTTACAACTTAAAGCAAAACACAAGGGAAAAATCGTTGCTATGGTAACTTGAAATGCTAAAAGAAACTGACAATCACATCTGTTTTAGTCCTCAGACAGTTGTTGTTTCGGTTATAAACCTTTTTTTGTAAGAGGAGGTTGATAAAACTGGTCTCGTAATGAACACGGTGTCGATTCCAATCGACTGCCACCTTTTCCCAGAGAATTCTATCGTTGTAAGGGGGTTAATCAAAAATGCAAACTGCCTGATGTTTTGATACACAAATTTATTGCTCTTAAATACAGTGTCGAATCTTTAATTCTCATGAATGTACACAATAGTAACTTTAATTGCGTTAATCAATTTTTTTTTATGGTACTTGAGAGTTTGAAATTAGTTATGATTAATGAGGGAATGCTCAAAAAACAGCGCTCGAGTTTAACATGACTGTTTCACACCAATCTTTGAACAGGCTATAGAAAAGAACAAAAGAACTTAGCTCTAACATCAGTACTCCAGATCGAACTTGAATACTGTTTTCAAGCAAACGCAACGCTGAATTACCACTAATTTGGGTTGGTGCCTAAGGGATAAGAAGGGTGGATTGGGGTATGTTATCGGTCAGAAAGGTTCGTGCCCGCAAAAGAAAAAATCTCGAGGTTTCAAAACGGCAGGGGCTTATAATAAATTGCCATGCACTTAGCACTACAAATTAAAGGACCTGTACCAACCTCTTTAGCTAAGACATCGTCGTTTGCGGAGGCTTTCCTCAACCATCTTTTTGCCTTTGATGCATCTTTGATTTGCTCACAATGTCCGTTCAAGTAGATTTGTCCTAAGTTAAGCTGAGCCTCGGTATCGCCTAGTGGGTTGTGGTTGGCCTTCCGGACAATCACCCTCTATCTAGGTAATACTTGTACAAGAACTTCAGAGCTCTTTGCTTGGCACCGCTGACGGCGTCTCCCAGTTTTTTTACCGTCTGATTAAAGAGATCTCTCACTTCCCCCGGTTCAGAATCATTGGAAATTTCATCAGCAGCCATTTTATACCATTTAAAGGCCTCTTTAATGTCTTCGTACATCCCTGTTTCGCTGCCCTGTGATACATCTCGTATACCTTTCGCTGATAAAGCGACGTCCCTTTTCGATCTAGCAATTCTCCAAGTTTTCCAAGGGTGACAGGAGATTCATCACCCTTGTTTACGGCAGTGGTGAGCCATCCAATTGCTTTCTCGTAGTCCCTTGGCAAGAGATCGCCAAAACCTTGAGAGTATGCGAGTCCCAGATCGGCTTGGGCAACGACTTCGCCATTGTGGATTGATCCATACTCTGCGAAACAGTATTCCCGAAACGGGTCATTGGGAAGAGGAATGCGAAAGCTCATGGCAGAATCAATCACAGTGGTGGACCACAGGTTACCCAGGCGAGTAAAGTCATATATCAGCTGGTTAGTGGGCTTTTTGGCGGACGGTTTCCTCCGAAAACTCTCAGTTAGGCTATCCAGAGTACTTTTAGATCTGTAAGAACACGGCGATGTAAAATATGTATCTTTTCGGTCATGCTAGGGAAACTTACAAGGGCGTCAGTATTGATTTCCCGAAATTAAACGCATTTATACTGCGAAAGGGAGAATTTTTCTGATCTCCCCCTCCATCACATTAATATTTTGAATCCGAAAATTTTAGGTTTCTTTTTTTCTACGAAAAACAGCCTACCCTGGCAGTGAAATGCAAAAAATTAAACTTCAGAAAATCGTAGGGAATTTATTAGATAAGCTTCGAAAATTGTACATGGAGTGGTTCTGTGGAAATTTTTAGCCGTCCTAATAGAAAATTCTAGGCAATATTTGCTTCTCCGAACATATATTTTACAAAAAACTGTCGTTGGGTGCCCGCCTGCAAAGTCAGCGTTAATTATTGATAACCCTTCACTTAAAAAGACAAAGATCTAATTGCGTTTACTAGTCCCTGACCCGGTGAACAGACTTTTGGGCTAAGGCAAAAAGAAAAAGTTTGAGAGAAGCTAGGCCGCGAAGAGAAACTGGCCGAGATTGTAGCTTTCTGCATCGTTCGCAAAACCTCCAAACATTCCCAGTAGAAAATGTAAAGGATCAGGAGCCGATTGTTCCGATCGGCTCCTGATGCATTAAAATTATACAGGCTTTTTTGTCGGTTCAAAATGTTTTTATAAAAAGCCCTTTTCAACTAAATGTCAGATTTCCCCAACCTTTCATAAACTTCAAATGTAAAATTCCTACCCTCTGGAGCCCATGCTACACTTAAATATACGCAAGTCTGAAAAAGATATCCCATTCAGGCGGAGGCTCTCAGTATAGACCATTATAAGAAGCCCCCCACTCCCCGGCATTAGTCAGAAGCCAGGTCAGAAGTAAGGAACATGATTCAAAATGTAGATCAAAAGGTATACGGTTTAATTGTCACTACTGATTTAACTTTCGCGTTCCTTACTTTACGAAACTCAAACGAAAAAACACACCAAAAATAACCGCTAGCGACGCAGGCTATTTGTAATGTTATCCGTGCCATCGTCTTTGAACTGAGAAAAAATAACGGCGATCGGATGCCTTAACGGATTCTTTTCTGAAAACTGCCATGTTTCATTTTCGGAGTCAATCAGTGTGAGCAAGTGGTTTCAATATTTCGCTGTTTCTGAGGCCTCTTGATTGACTCGATGAATAACTTAGAGTACAACGCTGTGACCACCACTGTCTCCTGACAGAGGCGAGCGCGGGAGGGACGCGGCTTCACCGCGGCCGGGAGGAGAGAACGACAAGCGACGACGCGCAAGGGACCATGGGGAGGCAGGAGTGCACCACGTAATGGCGGAAGTGTTTCCGAGAAAGTAAAAAGATTGTGAAACCTCCGGGAAAATTGATGCCAAAGGACGCAAAATACGTGAATAATTTTTAGTAAGTGTGTTTACAAAGGCGATAATGAATTTCTTCACTTCGGAGGACCTAGATTTTCAGCGATATTGCATTGCAACGTATGGATCAATCGAGAATTTAATTGACAAAGCCAAGAAAGGCGAAATTGTCGCCCAAGCACATCTGGGTTGCGCTTACTCGGACGGTTTTGGCGATCTCTTGCCGCAAGATAACGACAAAGCGATTGGATGGCTTAGCACTGCTGTAGAAAACGGTTATGAATCTCCTGAGATCCTTGGAAAACTTGGGGGACTACTGGATTGGAAAGGAACGGTAGTATGCCGGCGAAAAGCGTACGAGATGTACCATAGAGCTGCCAGACTGGGTAACACAAGCTCACAGATAAATCTTGCAGAAATGTATCGTCTTGGAGTTGAAGGAGTCGTGAGCGAAGACCTCAAGGAATCTTTTAAATGGCTTAAAAAAGCGGCTGATGAAGATTTATCTGAAAGTGAAGTTAGAAGAGATTTGTTCGGTAACACGTTAAGACGAATGCAAAACGCTATTGGTGGTGAAAAACAAACGGCTCTGAAACTTTTGTACCTCAACTACGTCGCTGGTGATTGTCCGGAAGGTCAACCACAACCAACTAAAGCTGTTCATTATTTGACCAGAGCGGCTGAACAGGGTGATACCGAGGCACAGGTTATCCTCGGAGAGATCTACTTGACTGGAGGTTGCGAGCAGTTGATAGATTTGCCAAGAGCGAGAAGATGGCTCAATAAAGCATCTGACAAGGGCGATTTAAGGGCGAAAGAGGTGAATTATTTAACAGTTAATGAATGAGGCTGAGTATCTTATTAAGAATTATGGAGATGGAGGAGGGTGTTATGGATAACACCCTCCGAGATCTCCATAATTCTTCATATGATATGAAAGCCAAATTCAATAAATGTTTTATTATTTATTACTTATTCCTAGTTTAAAAACATGGCTAAAACATGCTTGCCTCCATCGATCCATTGATGATAAGTTCATCTTTGGTAGTGCATGTTTAGGGTTGTTCAGCTCCACAAATATTCTCCAAATAGCAGATGTCGCCCTTCGAGTTGTCCTCTTGCTGTTCTTGCCATGTCTTTAGCTATGTTTCGCCTACTTCTTACTCTTGAAATGAGTGAAATGTCTGCCATTTTTCAAGTTCACAACCAAAACAACTCAACCTGGTCCCCAGGTCTTCTCGGTTAACGGAGTATTAACCTGCAAGAACGCTGCATTTTTGACGTCATTTCCTTCCTAAAAACAAAATTCTTCCAAATTTGGTCATCAGTAACTGGTTATGGTGAATTAAACGTGTGCTTTAAGCCAATCAGAATCAGGGAAATATTTTGAATGAATAATACCGTAAAATTCCGAAAATAAGCCCCTCCATGTAATAGCCCCTCCAAATAATTCTAAGCCCCCCAAACTCGTAATGCAAAAAAACCCGCCATTAAATTGCCCCTCCAAAATCCCCCCGGGTGGCTTGTACTCGGAAATTGCCCTCAAATACAAAGTCAAACAAGGCAAAAACGGTAAATTTCCTTCCATTATTTATAAGGCAAGCCCAATCGATTTCGAAACGCAAATTTCCTTCCGTAGATAAGCCCTTCCTAATATAAGCCCCTCAAAAAAAATATAAGCCCCAGGGCTTATTTTCGGATTTTTACGGTAATTGTTCTTATTTCATCAGTCCTTTGTTCACAAGACTTGCTATCTTTATACTTTATTTAACCCATTCGTTCCTGGAGATTTTGCCGAAAAACACGTTTTGAAGCTAGTCGAGTGGTTTTCTGGTCTTTGTCGTGCTATAAAGAGCTAAAACTTACCACAAACCTGTTTACAGGTCGTACACTTCGCGGCCTTCTGATCCAGATGCAAAATATCAGCTTGCGAAGTTCGGGCATGCGCAGAAAGCAAAATTTTTTTTTTTACTTTTTGCTTTCTCTCCTCCCTTCTTTTTTCGCTCTTCTTGCCTCATTTTTTTTTTCTCTTGCTGGGCATTTAGTAGGCTTCATTTTGGTGGGAAGAGTTTTTAGGAAAGCTTTTAGGATCTTGGGATTAGGTGAAAGGAAAGGTAGGTGGGTAATGGAACAAGATTTTCATGGAGATTTTCAGGTCAATGTCACGTGGTTTTTTGCTTGTTTCTCTGGTGTCCTTGACTAAATTGTGCTCATTCTGGTATGGTTTGAAAGATCTCTTCACTCTGCACAAGTTAGCGACAAAAGTTGTCCTTGACCGTTAAAACTGATGACGTCACAATGGGTAGAAAGGACCTGGATCCGCACCGGTGGTTACGGGCGGTTCAGGGGCGAATGGGTTAATCAAAAAACCTAAAAATGGCCTTTTACCAACTTTTTCACCTGATTCTACATGAAATAGACAGATTTGGTTGTTTTATGCTGAAAAGTGGATTTTTTTCAAAAAGCTTGGTACTTTGCTTAACCCATTCGCTCCTGGAGATTTTGCCGAAAAACGCGTTTTGAAGCTAGTCGAGTGGTTTTCTAGTCTTTGTCGTGCTATAAAGAGCTAAAACTTACCACAAACCGGTTTACAGGTCGTACACTTCGCGGCCTTCTGATCCAGATGCAAAATATCAGACTAAATTGTGCTCATTCTGTTATGGTTTGAAAGATCTCTTCACTCTGCTCAAGTTAGCGACGAAAGTTGTCCTTGACCGTTAAAACTGATGACGTCACAATGGGTAGAAAGAACCTGGATCCGCACGGGCAGTTACGGGCGGTTCAGGGGCAAATGGGTTAACACGGATATTACTCTTAGCTATTGGCTAGTTTACAGGTAATCCACAGCCCTAATTATATTCCAAAAATTTAAAATTTAAATTCCAAAAAAAAATTGTATTATAAAAATTTAAAATTCAGAACTAAAAATATACAATAATTCATCATCTGAAAACTGTAAAAGCTAAGAATTGATTAAAACAACAAAGAAACAAGCAGCAATTACTATAAATCCCGATTTCAGTCAAAACTTAAGCAATCGAATTTTGTTCTTCACTTCATTAGTGCCTGCTTTAATTCTAATGTCATTTGCTAGCTCATTCCATTTCTTAGCAGCAAAATATCTCCAAGATTTGAAACCGTATTTAGTCATGTTAACTTTCGGTAATGAAAGGATATAATCATGTCAAAGACTATACTTTGATGAGCATACATGTAAGGTGATAAGATCTCTAATTGCGGGTGGAGCTTTGTCCGATATACTGTTGTTTATTGTCAATAGCATGTCTTGGATTCTTCGAGTTTCCAATGATGGGAGTCTCATTCGTTCCAAGAGATCTTGATAAGATGCACTTTTATCATTGAAGATGTACCTCAAAGCCCTTTCGTTGACTTTCTCAATTTTAGCAGTGTTTCTTTTTCGGCAGTGGTGCCAGATTTGGTTACAATAGTTAAAATACGGCAGTATAAATGCGCAATAAAGCGATTCCTTGGTTTTAAGTGGCAAAGTGTTCTTCAATCTGTTCAGAGCACTTATCTGAGAACTTACTTTGCCACAAATACTTGAAATACCTTAACCTGGCAAGCAGTGGTTTCTCCAGGCAGTAGGGAGTCTGAGAAACCACTGCAACCAACCGTCTGCTTTTCCATCAAGCATACTTCCCTATGAGAGGCTAATGGGGATGTGCTGCTGGATGGGGTTGTATTTTCACGACTGGATTGACTATATTGGGGTGCATATTTTCGGTAAGACACTTCTTCATATTTAAAAAATGGGTCAGTTCGTTTTAGGATGACCTATTTAAGGATTTATAATAAAGGTAGATACATAGAAAGTTGGGATCGTGAAAATTATACATTTGCCCAAAAGTGACTAAGATGGGGTCTATAATTGGCCACAGAATAGACTATAATAGGGGCTCTGAGAGGCCAGCAGCACATACCCAGGAAAAATAAATTCACCTAAGAACCACCCCCCCTCCCTCCCAGATTCAAGGAAGCAAAATGTAGGTCCCAAGCAGGCACTTTTAGCGGAGCTTGTATTTCGTCCTTTCCCACAAACATCTGCTCAACCAAGAACAATATTCATTTCTCATTGTTTTTGTTTACTCAGTAAGTAACCAATCAACAGTTTTGAAATTAAGTGTTGACAGGCTAAACATGACTCATAAGCTTGTGGTAGTGTAAAATCATGACCCTAGAGTTACCTTATCCTTCTTTGCTTTCCTTCAATAAGGTTATGCAGTGCACGGGTATTCTAAACTCTGACTAAATCTTACTTTTGCTGCTCTAAAGTCTAAAGCTTTCCCAGTGTTTCATGCAGATCAAGTTATTATCAGGTTACCCTGCGGTCAAGGTCAACCTTGCAGAATGTGGAAAGTACAGCAATGGGATTGGTTAAGCTTAGAAAAGCAGTGTGCAAAGAAAGTCACATCCAATAGCCTGTAGCTAGTGGGTTTTGCTATTGGGCTAGTAAATTCTGTTCTTAACTTGCCCGACTGGCAAGTTAAATTTTTGGGGAATTCAAATTACAGCTGAAGAACTGTTATCAATCCTGCTCATCAAATTATTTTTCACTCCAGTTAAAATGACTCTTGGGCTAGTACATGCTAACTACAGCTTGCCCGAATGTCAAGCTGTAAAACTGACTGACTTTGCATCCTGGAAAGGAATGTTCTTCTCGGTTGAGCTAGCAGGCATTTGTGGGGAAGGACAAAGAAATCTGCTTGTGACGCCAAGCAAATGGTTGCTCACAGTAGTTTCTCTCTCTTTGTTGTGTAGCATCAGGCCTGGAGAAATCACTGCTCACTACCATCTTTTCACACTGGCTTTTATTTATTTACAGATACACAGGGCAACAAACTGAAATTTATTTTTTAGAAAGGATGTACGTTCAACCAACAAGTTGCCATTTGACTTTTCGCAGATTAACAACAGCCTACAGGACCCAAATTATGAGGATGAATAGGAGCTTATGCACATAGTTATAGCCATTAAAGTGTACATACCTCACAAAAAGATGTCTCTTTGTTGTTTTCTTCTGTTTCCTGTGGCACAAAAAATGTCACTTTTAATTAGCAAGTTTTGATATGTTGGTTTCACACCTACCAAAACTTGCTAAAATGTTTGTATAGGGCAGGAAACAGTATAAAAAACAATAGAGGGACATCTTTTTATGAGGTATGTACACTTAAATGGCTGTTTCTATGCATTTTACCCATTTTATTGATCTTACATGAAATTCACATACAAATCCTTATAATTTGGCCATTGTGAATCTGGATCCCCTTAATGATTATACCTCCACCTGTGAACAGGAAGTTCGTGTTTTGAGTTTGGGTTGGGGATGTATTATTTTATTTATTTATTTATTCATATAATTATTATATTTTATAAGATTACAGCAAATTTACATTCAATTTGAGAAAAAATTCATACTGTGGAACCTTCATTTAAGAAACCTCTATATAACAAAGTCCTTAGTATAACAAACTACTTCCTTCAGCCTAGCCAAAATTACAGTAAAATGTTTGGAACAGAACCTCGCTTTAACAAACCTCGATTTAATGAAATCCACAGTGAGTGGTGAGGAGACTCCAGAAAGCCTTGTTCAAGGGGGTCCCCATGATTTGGTCATAATGGATTGAAATAATATAGGACTAAGGGCAGCAGGATATAATAGACTTAGTCAGTTTTTGTAAGAAAGAAAGTCATGAAGATATTTTTTAAAATTAGAAAAAGTGGTGGAACTTGAAACAGATAATGGAAGGGAATTCCAAATTTTTTCAAGACCCAAGTATAAAACAATAAACTGTTTATATTTGTTTGACCAAAGTGTGGTCTGCAATTTATTACAATTCTGGTGATGTGTGTACCTGGGCACCAGTTATAATATAGGTTCAGAAAAGAAGAAGGCAGCAAATGATGATGATAGCAGAACATAAATTTAGCAACATGTAACATAGAAATACCAAAAATATTTCTTAAATCTTGAGTTTGGCAAATAATGAAGCAGTGTAAGAACCATACTCTGAGTTAGATAAAACATGGATGGCACTTTTTTGTAAGAGAGAAATTTTTAAAAGCAGTGTAAAATGGAGGGGGGAGGGTACATTTTTTTGTGATGGCAAGAAGGGAAGGGGGTACTAGTTTTATAGATACTTCCTTTCCCCTGCAAACTGCCAAACCTTCACGTGGCTGGAATAACCATGTAAAATGGCAGTCCAGTATGAGACGTAAAAATAGTGTCCTCAATCAGTACTTTTGTACTGTTACATTGACACTCAAATAGATCCAAATAAAGTGCATTTATTTTATAAAGCGCATTTTATTTAATTTTTGTTTCATCCCAATAGACATCTTTGTTATAAACACTCGAATGCCTCTCAAACAAACTACAAATTGACCTCAATCAAATATTTTTTTCAACCCGTGTCTTTAGAGTGGAGCTATCGGAGCAGCTGTTTTTGAAACTCTGTTGAATTGAGTATCACAAAGAAGCCAATTTTAGCCACAGAGAAAGTTGTGTTTGATCATGACCAAGATTAGTTTTTTTCATGTCTCTGTCTTTGTAATATTAAGTGACAAGGTATTCCAATCAACCGGTGTGAGGAAAGGGCTTGGGCAGATTTTACCACAGGACTCCATTTAAACTGATGGGGAAGGAGGGGATGGGGTGACAGGGCATGAGAGAAAAAAAAAGGAGGATCTATTTTCTAATACCATATTTCCTCAAATGAGCTCCTGGGTGGTTATTCAAAATTTTTGTTGCAAGGAGAAGCACTTATTGGAAGGGGGGTGCTTAACCAAGGGAGTTGTTTATTTAGGTTTCAATGAATTATAACTTTATTCTGTCTAAATCTTTTATCAGAAAACGAAAACTACAACATTATCCACATGAACCTAAAGTCAATATTTATGTCTTTCATTTGTTAAATCAGTTGTTGATAATCAAGCGTATCATACTCCCACAATGCACTTTACACACATGCATTGGAATGCATGTTTATGAAAATAATTATTGATTATCTATAGTAATTATCATCGTCAAAGTTAATGTTGATTCTCTCATCAGTAAATTGGAAACAGAAACAGGTTTTCCTTGTGTCCCTACTATTTTAAGAAAGTGAGGGGAGAGGGGAGGGGGCGCTTGTTCAAAAGGCAGGCTTGTTTGATTATAGGGAGGAGCTTAAGCTAATGGAGACATTTTGAGCGCTGTGCGTCTACCGGAAGTGAGGCCTTTTCCCTTTTAACATGCTTGACAATAACCAAATTTGTATTGCTAAGTGTATTTACTCTTCTTCAGATGATTTGACTGGAGGTTTGGGCAAAAGCACTTCCTAAGAATGCAGAAAGACTACTTCTTGTAATTTGTTGACATGCGTCACTTGAAAAGCTCTTTCCCAAAGCTCCCTTTAAGGTTTGCCTTTGTGGTTGGTGCTTACTTGTGGGAGGGTACCAGCTTTTTAGAGCATAGGTGCTTATAAAAGGAATTAAAGAAAGACAAGGAGCTATACTCAGGGACTCCCTCCTTGGTGGATGGGTCTTTATTTTTTAAGATTTTCATTGGAGACGGGAGGGGGCGGGACGGAATTTTGTTGCAAAACATGATGCCAAACCCCCAGCTTCCCCCCCCGAACAGTCCCTTATTTTATTTAATTTTTTTTTTTCAGTCATACGTCACATTGTCGTTTCATTCAAGTACTATATATGCTGAGTTTTGGTTCAAAATTATACTCATTGGCATTTGTTCATGTTTATCAGCTTTCTATCATACACTTATGTGTATGTTGTGGTTCAATTTTATCCCTGGTTTAATTTTTTTTTTCCTTTGTGTTAAACTCATTATCATACATTACCATACTCCAAAACAAAGGGATATAATATTTAAACCAAGGATAAAATTGAACCACAACATGCACACTTAGTCTTTGAAAAAAAAAAAAAACAATTTACATATGGATTAATTCTGTTGTTCTCCACGCCAAGCATCTTGATAATGATAAAGCTAATTACTACTATCGTTGTTTTCCAGCTTCTTCAGCAGTGCACACAGAGTAAAGACACACCTTGTGCAGCATTAGATCCCCAAGGAAAAGTTCTGGAGCAATCCTTTAGCATGTGGAGTGAAAAAATGCTTCAGAGATTGGAAGCAAATTTGCATCCGCTTATCGTTAGACAACCAGTCGCCTTCTCAGAGGAAATGCTCAGCCCGTTTGCAGAAAGGTCCCCAACAGCACAAATCTATCTTCAAGCTTTCAAGCTGGTGAAACAAGGCTTTGAAGTTCTCTACAAGAGTAACTTTGGCAATGAAAGAGGAATTTCCCTAATTGCTCATGGTTTCTTGACTGAAAATTCTATTCTACAAGCGTTTCCCTTGAATGACGATTTTTTCCGTCGGGTATTTGAACTTTGTGAGAAGTGCTTAAAAAAGAATCCTCAATTTTACGAAGGGCTCCTTCTATCATACGCTTTGCATCATTCTGGGCGACACGTTTCTGAGAAGAGCGCCAGAGCGGATGTTAAGAAAGTCACGTGCTTAAACAACTTGATTTATTTCATAGAAAATGCTGAAAGAAACATGCCTACTCCTGAAGATCCTTTTAAGTTTGATGAGAACTACAGCAGCTGGCTTCATGTTTTGTATTCTCACTTAGGATCATTCCATACTGTCGGAGAAGCCAATGAACTGGCAGCCGAAGCTCTTGAAAATTCTCTTAGGTGCTGCCCGCATTACTATGACTCTAAAAGGCTTCTTGGGTATTCTTTTCTGATGCAGTATTTATCTAGAATAAACGTTGAAATTACAATTGCTCCCGGAAGCCAAGATCCATCAACGCCTAGTCGTGAAGACAGAGCTTTTGATAATAGAAAAATTTTCAAGTATGCATCTTGGACCACTGAAGCATTAAAAGATGCTGCGGTGGACATATTGATGGAATATCTAGCTGAGGCCCCACCTTGCTGCAAGAGATACCCTAATGCATATTATTATCTTGCAAGTATTGCTTTCAGCATAGAAAACAAAGAGGACGGAATGAAATATTATGAACTAGCACAAGATGCTGAAGAAAATAGACTTCCTTTCTTCGAACCTGTCAACATCCCATTGAAAGATAGCGCGTCTCTTTGCTACCAGCTATGTACCAATCTCCCAACCACCAAGTGTGGCAATAAGGCTTGCACACGGAATGTAAAGAAAAAGGAATTGAAGTTGTGCTCCTGGTGTAGAAAAAAAAGTTACTGCAGCAAGTGAGTGCATCTATATAGATAAAAAAAAAGCGCGCAGTACACTATAGAAACGTTTCATGCCAATACAATTCAAGCTATTCACTCCCACCAATTTGGCTGAGAAATGGCGTATGAAGCTAATCAGTCCGATCATGAACTCGTCGAAACGATGCAAAACTGTCCAACACGTTGGTTGCATTTGTCGAACACTGCGCTGGCTGTAAGTGACAGCTTCGGAATTTCGGGCATGCGTAGAAAGGGAAATTTTCTAGAGTTTTGAAAACGGACATAGTTGCGCCTTGACTATTTTACCTATGGCTGATTCTCCCCGCCCGCCTGCCCCCCTTTTTTTCTTTTGCTAAGCAGTCACCAGGTTTCATTTTAAATCTGCTAGTTCCTTTGAAAACCCCTAGGATTGAGAAAATATTTTGAATGGAGTTGGAGTGGTGGTCGAAAAATGGAAGAAGATTTTCATTGGAAAATTAATTTTATGCTAACAGCAATATGCTTTTCAGTCAATGTAGCAAATTGATATTTCCGGGAAACCCACTATCTAAAGTCGTTTTCGGTATGTTTAAGTGCTTCTTCAATAGATTTGTTTATATAAGCAACATCTCTTAGACGAAAAGTAAGTAGAGAAACTAACGATGTATAAAACAGAGTGGTAGGTGTTACTTGAATACTAGTGTCTTTCTCTGCTATCTATTTTTCAGAAACTGTCAAGCAGCTGACTGGAAAACGCACAAACCCCATTGTATTGCTGTTAGAGAGCACAGTGCAAAAGCTGGTACCTAAAGGCCATTCACTGACTGATGTTGCAAATGCTAATCGACAGGCACGTTTTGTCATGAGTTGTTATCATATCAACTTAGACCGATAACCATAGCATGCTTCACCTGTTAAGTTTCTTTCTATCGAGGGAGAATATGGCAGCTTTAGCGGGGTGTGCTGTGAGTCCAATGTCTTAGTGTTAAGCCGTAGTCTACTTAGGTACATTGGAGGTCAAAAGTGGTGGGATCTTGCCCGTGATATCAGTATTTATAACTGCCACAAAACCCCTTTTCACCCCAAACAATGTTGAATTTTAGACAAAGTGGGTGGAAATGAGTCCTTTTTCCCCACGGAAAGATTGCTGGGGGATGATGCACTTGCACTTTGCACTCTTTATTTGAGTGTCAATGTATTTAGCACGGAAGTGCTAACTGGGGACACTATATTAACGTCTCCTACTGGAGACGGGACCACCATTTTACGTGGTCATCCGAGCCACGCGAAGGTCTAGCCATTTGCAGGGCAAAGGTATTACCTTCATTTCTCAGGTTTTTTTTAAGACCCTGATTTTCTTCCACTTTGGTTATCAAATAGTAAAATTGAACAGCACGCATAATTCCGGTTGGCCTCAAAGAAACAAAAAAACAAAATTAAATAACAATCTTTATTTCTACGCGATTTTTAATATTACAGTGACTTCCACCCGCATATAGAAAACGTAATCGAGGCGGGGGAAGGAGCAACAAAGGAAGAAAAATAAAAATATTTTACAAGTATTACCTGCTGCCGTGAATTAAAAATTACATTGAATTAATTTATTAACATTACAATATAGATTAGAAAGAATTTGCTAATACCTTTGTACCTAACAGTTTTACTAGTGTCTTATACGGATTTCCGTTGTAAACTTATATTCTACCGATCTTCTCTCGACGATGACTTTTTAGTTACCGAACACTCAGGACTTGAACAAATGCTTTGTTCTTTTATGAGAGTAAGCCCATAGATCTTAAACTCTTTCCCCTTAGATATGAGAAACCTAGCTGCTAAAATTTTTAATGTCTCCCGAAAAAGTGTAAGGGATTAAAATCTGTAACGACTATTGCTGGTTTTCAACCACGTGACAAGGCGGTCATCTTAATGGACAAAGCATTAAAATGTTTCCTCGCAGAATTTAGTATTTGTTTTCGTCTACCAGCGTGGCCGCCTTGACGTCGGTTGAAAAACGGGAAGCAAAAGCGTTTTTGAGCAGCGCACGTCAACCGGAAGTGAGGCCTTTTCTTTGATAATATGACTTGACGCTACCAAATTTGTATTTCTAAGTTTCTTTACTCTAATAGAGATGATTTGGCGGGAAAGGAAACCACTGCCTACGAATGGAAAAGGTCTACTTCGTGGTTGACGTACGTCGCTCAAAAACGTTTTTGCTTAAGCTCCCTACATTGTTCCAGAAACCGTGTCCCCAGGGCTTTTCGCATCGGAATTTTCTAAGGGAAAAGCCCTGGAGATGAGGTTGTTGGTTCAGTTGTTGTGTGATAAGTACAATAGAAATCATTGTCTGTTCTTAAATAACTTCTTTACAATATGGCCTTTTTTTAGATTACAGCGTTGTTTGTTGCAAATTTGTTTACAAGGAGGGAGGGTAACCCTGGTGCTAGGGTTTCGTAGGCAAGAGGGTTGCCCTACCTGCCTTGTAAAAGCTCTGTTAGGGATAACTCGCCTACTCGGGACAGCTTTCCTCAGTCATGCGTGACCAGTAATCTTGACAATTTGAACCGAATTATCCAATCTCTGAGCTCTCTGGTAGTTGTAATAAAATGACGTTATCGTGCAATTGTCTTTTTTACCTTTTGAAAAAGAGAGTAGACCTATACACAGTACTATACTCCTATTTCATTGTTTTCTTTTCTTTACTTATAACTATTTGGCAGTTATTGTTAGATAGTGTTTAACGGGTCTAGTAACAGCACGCTACTACGACGTAAACTGAACTATCCGTGAACCATAAACTTTCCCAGGGAGATCACGATTACTTTGATACGTTCTTAAAGTCGTTTACCTACTGTTACTTTATGTTACGGCTATTTTTTGTGAATAACTAAGATAGAAATTTTCAAATAATCGGAGGCGTTTGTGGTCGCAATAGGTCAAAATCCAATGCAGCTAGGCTCTTCTTTTTCAACGCATTTTTCGCTGTTTGAGTGTATTTTCTGATAAAAAAATTATCTTCACTCACTACATCCGGGTAGCTTTAGAAAAAAACCACAACACAGCCACCAAAGCCCCCCTCACCCATTAAAAACACCTGCAGTTCTACTGAAGCAATGTCTATTGCAATGAGCAACCTAACACTCCTTTTAAAGAACGTTGATGCCTCGTTCTATCACCACTGCTGATACGGAGCTAATTGATCAAGGTAAATTGTTAGTTTCTTCCCTCCCTCATCGAAGGATGCCAAGAAGAAAACCTTTTTGCTTGTATGTTTATTGAGACTTCCAAGGACACCGCATTCCATTATTATGTTAAAGATTTCTGGGCTCTGAATGTCGCATTCAAGAGTTCGACTCTGGTCATAAACATGGAGCAACTGCTTTGGGTGACCGTTCTGAGTTTGGGTTTGAATCTTGATGATGAATTTTTCGCGACTGTTGAGTTTGAGTTCAGGGCCAGTTCCACTGCCTTTTACGTGAATAGCATATCTTAGCGCATACTGATTCCGTAACGATGTTTCATCGAACGTAATGGAATAACGACTTTTTAGGGCTTTGCACAATGCCTCGTGTGCATGGAAGTGCCGACTTCGGCATTCTTTTGAGCAATATGATGCAATCTTACAATTTGAACACTTAATGAGACGCTTTCCTTCATGTCTTGAGCCACCACAAAATGTGCAGACATCGTGTAACCGCTCAACTACCTTTCTTGGGTGATATATACCTTCTTTGTTATTAAATTCTTTGTTTCCATAAAGGATAGGAGGGGTGCTATAAATATTCTTTTCCCCTGGTGGAGGAGGTGTTTTGCTCGGGAGGCTATTTTCAAGGGGAAACTCAACTCTCTTTGCATATTTTGCATATTCTCCAAATAGCCATGGGCCACTATGGTCTCGAACGATGTTTGAGTCCAGATAAACCCGTCCAGAGTAATTTACGTTAATGAAAATTCCACCACATTTGTTGCCAGAGATAACATTCCCTGTTATTTTCGCTGATGTTCGTAACTGGGCTTGAATTCCCCAAAACCCGTTTTCGAATATCCTGTTTTTACTGACCAACAGACAAGGGTCTTCCTGGAGAGAAATACCGAAAAGGCGGTTGTGATGGACGTCGTTGTTTCTCACAACTATCTTGTGTTCGGTGCGACCGACAAAAATACCCTCCTTTGCGTTTTCAAATACTTTGTTTTCATTGACATCACATTCTCCTGCATTCGGGCCAATTAAAATACCATGGTAACCATTATTAAATACCCTGTTTTTAAAAGCAACCAGTTGACCCCCTAGCCTTGCTTCTAGACCAGCTTGATGGTTTCTGTAAATCTCACATTTTCTGACCTCCATGTAAGCACCTTCCCACGCTACAAGAGCACCTCCACCTCCGCAGTCTCGAATAACACAGTTTTCAATAAAAGCAGAGCTTCCACTCGTAATCTGAATTCCAGGAGAGCCAGCCACACCCGACTCGGAACCTGGATCCCCAAATTTGTCAGTGCGGTCACAAACCGGCTTTCCTAGAGAAGCTGCTATACACCCTGGTCCACCGTTGCATTCTGGACTATCCTCACAACTTACAAACCCTCCTGAAGTTTCGCACTGGTTCATGTGAATAGCTGCATCCTTCCCTTGGCACATTATACCACTGCTTCCTTTTGGAAAGGTTATATTCTCAAAATAGCACTTTGATTGGTGCAATATGCAACAACTTTCTATACAATTTAAAACTACCTGCTGTTCTAGACCGACCATCTGAAGGTTGGTGAGGACAGTGAAATTCTTCAAGTTATATTTACCTTCACGCAGCAAAAAGGTTTCATTTCCTTTTCTCATCATTAGGGCGAAAGCCAACTGCGTTTCATTTGTTATTTCTATGGGCGAAAGCGCACGTACTTCTGGAAACATTTCACAAAACGTTACCTCAGTTCGAAGACTTGATGAAAGTAAACGGCCACTGCCATTGTTGCTCTTTTTTGCCCATTCAGGTGAGTAGCTCCCTCGTTAACAAGGTTATGGAGAGCCCAGATTTTGCGTTGAAGTGCCTTACTATTATGAGGATGTAAAGAAAGGCACTCTTCACAGTCTTCTAAAGCTTGCTGGGGCCGGCCGAGCTTTAAATAACAAAGGGCTCGGTTGGCGAATAGTCTCCAATCGTCAACCTTTAACTTTATGGCAGTAGAATAAAGTTCTGAAGCCTCTTCGAACTCGCTTCTTTTCACTGCAAGGTTCCCTTGTTCACGGATCTGGTTAGCCTTATCTTCCATCTCGATACGAGACGTTTCAGCTACATCCGGGGAATTATCCTCAGGGGAAGGTTGCCTCATGCAGTGAGATATCAGCTTGTATTCTTTGTCCTTTAAAGGAATGTCAATAAAATACTTGAACCGTTTGGTGCCATCCTCTGTGGTTGCCTTTAGTGATGTTCACCAGAAAGTCCAGTTTCAGTTTCTGTATTTCTTGAGCTTTAACTTTCTCTTGGGAAACACTGAAAAATATACTTGCTTCATTGAAGACACGCACGGTTTCTTCAGTGTACAACAGGGTATGGACTGACTCTTTATGCTTGGAAGAGTAATTACGCAAATGCTCCTGCAAATACGTGGAATGTAAGGCCAACTTACCCCACAGATGCAACGAAGGAGGATTCTCTACACTAAAAACAGCGTCTTCAACGAACCGTTCGCACACTTCAGCCGGTGAGCGAGTATTTTTCAGCGCGTGGTGAAGGACGCATACGGCACGAGAGAGAACCAACTCAGTTTGTTCTTTTTCCATCTGGCTTCGTATCACTTCTTGCACTAAACGGTGAACACTAAATGATTCTGATTCGAATCTTTGAAACAGGGAAAAGTTGGTAAGAAGAGATACTATCTCAGCTTGATCCCATAGACCGCTTTCCTCTGCAGAACTGCAATCTTCTTTCAGCCCTTCATTGACCAACTCGTATGGAATGTCATCTGGGCCATAAAAAGCACAAACCTGCATGAAACGAATGGGGAATTCTCCAAGTTCCATCTCTTTTGAGATGTGGCTGATGTGATGAAAATTCAACGTCCAGGTTGTGTGTACAGCTAGCCGTTCAGGAGAGGTGTTTTCCACAAATAGCTGCGCCTTTTTCTTTTTTAAGAGAAGCAGCTTCTGCTTCCTGTATTTCTTCACATACTCTTTTACAGACTGTTTAACCCATCGTATATAGGCACCAGCTTGATCCAGAGCTAGGGGCAACCCTCCCAGTTCTCTGACTAGCTCACGTAAGTCATTGTCTTCTCCCTCATCCTTACCTGTTCGCTTTCGTAGGAAATAAATACCTTCTTCTTCTGTTAAGCATTTTAAGTTAATACAACACTGCTCATCAATTCCTGTGTCCTCTCCAACTTCTGAAACTTCTCTTCTTGTCGTTATGATGATGTGTCCACGAGCCACATGTTTCCAGTGGCCAGTGAGCAGCTTTCGCATCTCTTTGGACATTTCTAACTCATCAAGATTATCGACCACTAAGCACCACAACTCTTCCCGTTTTCCAAGCCATTCAAGGGTACTCGACAAGGAGTTGTCGAAATCGTTTTCGAACGTTCCAATTTGACGTGCCATCTCACAGACTGACCTTTGAAAAAGATCATTATTTTCGCCCGAAATCCAGAAAATCCCCCCTGGATATTCTCCCTTTTGTTGCCAGAGAAATTCTACAGCGAGAGACGTTTTCCCAACGCCACCTAGACCACAAATAGCTGAATGAATACAACCATTTTGGCTGTATTTTAGTTGCGCTGCAATTGCTTCTAGCTCCCTAACGCGACCACAAAAGCAACGATTCCGGCTCGGCACTTGAAAAATTTTTGCATTTGTAGTCTTAAAACTGCCATCTTCTAGCGCTTTAACCCTAGCATCCAAGTGACTGTGGTCCATTTTTAAAGCCCCCATGTCTTCAGTTAGACGAGCTTGATCGTCTGTTATAGACGATACCGTAGTGTTTAAATCGCTTTGTTTTTCTTTCAGCTGAGAGATGTCCTCTTTATTAATATCTACGCGTTTATCTAATTTTGCTAACGAGTTAGAAATATCTTCAATGTCACTCGACAAGGCTTCCTGTTTTTCAAGCCGTTCTTTTCGGTCTGTCTCCATTTGCTTCTCAATGTCAGTTATACGCTCGTGAACTTTATCAACTTCGTCTCTGGTTGTTTGAAGAGCAGCAGTTATTTTGTTGGCCTCATCACTGCTGTACTGCTTTATATTTGCCACTTCGTTTTCTAAGTTGGTAACTTCGACGCTGATAAGCGTCATCAAATCGTTATCCACCGGGCAGCCCATGCACAGGTTCAAACCTGTCAAGAATGACCCCATAGTAAATAAGTACTGTACGGGCGCGATCCATTCAACCAAAATTTCCGGAAATGTCGGTCCAAAACTCAATGGATCGGTTCGGTCGAACCGGAAAAGTTTCGAAAAAACGGGTCCACTTTTTGAGGTGGACCACTTTTCCCGGTCAGACCGGTTGGAATTTTGGTTGAATGGATCGCGCCCTACATTTCCCTTTTTCATGGGTACTGCAGCAATGAACTTCCAATTGGATGGCATGTCAAATATAAGCAACGGAACAGGAAAATCAAGTCCTTATACTTTTCTTTTACCTAGTTTTACAACCTGATTATCAGACGGGCAGATTCCTTCGTAGAAATTACAGCCCTTTGTGTTAATTTGGTATGTGTTTGAGAAAAAGAAAGGAAATTGAAACTTGTACCTGCGGTCGAAATACCTTAAACAGCCACTTTTATATTACGTACCCTTCTTTTCCCAGTCACGAATTTCGTCAAGAGTTTTCTTTTCATCAGCCTTTGGAAGTCCCAATGAACGAACCATTGTTTCCATCACTTGAAAGCAATGTAGAAACTCCAGATCCGTCCAGTGGTCAAAGTTACAGTGTCCCCACTCATTTCTCACATTAGATCGCACATCTTTGGCATTGGCCTTGACATGATTGTGAAAAACAGACGCCCTTTCCAGAATCCCCAGGACTGCTGATAGGTCGCATGTATTATCAAATCCTACAAAAGGATAAACATTTGAGTGAGGCATCGGATCTCTTTCTATACTTAATAATAAAACGCGAGTAAAAATGGAATAAACATGCGACACGAGCGACGCATTTGCCTACTTTAAACTACTTTTTAGAGACATGCATGTACAGAAGTCTAATAATAATAATAATAATAACTCTATTTTAGTGCCAATGTATTTAGCTTAACAGTTAGCTAATTGGCCACACTTTCCTAAGTACTGGCTCTAATCTATTACATGATTTTTAAATTAATGATCTCACCTAAAACCTAAATATGCTATATTTAGTTTATTCCTTGGTGATAACGGTTATAACATTAATTGATACCTGTAAACTTGGCCATATGTGGCTCAAGATAAAGTTTAGCCAAGTCTTCAGCTGTTCCAACTTTGTAATCATATGAACGCACGTTTTTCTTAAAATTCCCCCAGTTATTGTTGATGCTTCCATAGTTCAGCTGAGATGGCCCATCATGAGTCTTATGTCTTCCATAGACTTGAGTGTCAATTCCATGTGCACTCTTCAGGGACGCATAGTGTTTGGGTATTTCTTGACCCACAAAATCTCGGAGGACTGGTAAGAGAAGTCTGTTCAAGCAAATCCCGATAACAACCCATCTCTTTTGGTTCTCTCCAAGGTCAAAACTGCTAACTGAAATACATTGAAGCACAGTGAGCACATACTGGCTCGTCCGATTGAGAAAACTCCAAAAATATGCTCAAAACTAACTCCGATTAAAGGTTGCTTTTGTTTGTTGTTAAAATAAAAGGTACGGTCAAACGCCTTAACAAGGACACAAAAGAAGAAACGCAACAAGTGTCAGCATTAAAGGGCTGTCCGCATCATAAAACCACAGGAATTGTACTAGTTTCCATCTCAGGCCATCTTTCAGGAGACCTAACCAGCGCTGTCACTAAGATTTCAAGTTGCTGGGTAAATACAACAAGTAGGCTGGGAAGCAAACAGCTAGGGGTTTCTTTTGATTCTATTGTTCTTCTGTCGTCCTACGTAAAAAGCCGGGGACCACGTTGTAAGTAGCCGGGGGAAAATCCCCAGCCCCCAATTCTTAATGACCGCAGTGCCTAAGAGTTGTCCGCCCACATCTGAGGGGCGTCCTTCGATAGAAGTTGGACCCTAGTACAATTTATTTAGACCTTGCGAGTGAGTTGCACTTAAAAAGCATTTATTTAAGATAAAGGCGAAAGATCAGTAACAGCCATCGGCTTAGTATACCGCAGTGGTTGTCTCAATGCGCTTGCGATTCTCCCCACCTTACGGTTGTTACAAGCACAGGTTTACCCACGTAAACGTAGCTTTGAAATGGACAGAAGCATAACCCCAATAGACTTAGAATTTGTTTTTTGTCTACGTAATCCTAAACAAGGGGAAGAGGTTGAAAAATTAAGGATTTTCCTTGGAAGAGTAACAAATGCATCTCGCCCTAGAATTAGCTCCTTCAAAGTTCCGGTTTAGGTCTGCTGCCAAGACCTGTAAAACCTGACCCTGTTTAATGCAAAATCGGCTCATCTTGCTACCCTGGCTAAGACAAGAGACCTTTCTTCGTGATCGTGATTCGTTTCATTTCCCATAACATAACCATTATGTAATTGTGTTTGTTGACTTCATGAAAAGTACGGGGATGCTCGTCGTCTCCCTTAGGGGTGTAAATTGCAGATTTTGGTCTCACTAAGGGTGTTTGGGACGCAAAGTCGCAATATTTGCCCATTCACGTATCGCTTAAGGCAGTGTGTTAAGAAATTACAAAAAATGCCGTGGCACCGAGCACACAGAAATCTAACGTTAAAAAAACACGACATCTCTTTATCTTCTTTAGATACCTAGCTCTTATTTAGGTGTCTGTATATTAGTATGGTCTCCTTTAGAAGTCACTGCTTGAGCCACACCCACATAGGTCTCCCTTTGGGCTTTTTGACATTATGCTTAGCTTGCATTTTTTGAGCATTTTAGTGAGGTAAAAACATAGCATTATTCGAGCATTTTAGTGACTTTTGGGAGGGGTGACCAAGCATTTTAGTGGGGAAACAAAAAGCGTAATGTACAAAGGCCTATCTCCCTTGCCGGTATAATTTTCCGACGAGCATTCCCGTCGCATTTATAAGTGTTTTACATGGCGCGAAATATATGTACTGCAACGTTACGTGGTCTCACAGATCTCATATGGCGGAAGCATAGATAATATGGAACAAACGAGTTACTGTTTATCCGAAGTCGTTTTTAATGTTGCAGTTTGATACTTGTCAAGCCGTAAAATGATGAGCCGATATCTGCTACCCGATTAGCCACAAACAAAACATATTTGGTTCCTTACCAGGTCCAGTTGAAGTAGGTGCTCCTGTGATAACCATAGGAGCAGCAGACGTTCCAGGGGGTGGCATGACGAATGGACTTGTGCTTCCACTCGCTAGTCCAGCCATGCTGACCTGAGAAGTAAAATGTATCCAACATATTCCAAAATGACAACAAATTTTGTATTCCATTGTCTTCGAGACAATTGGCTCAAAATGACTCTTTTCGACGTGAACCTAGTTGCACTATCCACCGGATAGACATTTATTCAGCGGATAGCGCTATCCACCTTTGAACATTTGGGGCCTCGTTACCAAATTCACTTATAATTAGTTTTATGGGGTTATGTTGCGTGCGCTTTGCACACTGAGTGCTTTGGTTTTAATAAGAACCTTATCTCAGTAGCTTGAATTCAACGTTCTCAGCAAACAAGTGCACGTTATTTAAAAATGTTGGTAATATTACTGAGTCCTTTTATTTTGCTGTTGATAAGCCCCCCTGGATAGTGATTTATCCAGTACATAGCGCTATCCAATGCTTGAATAAACGGGACCAGCTGGGCCAGATGTCGATGCGAGAAATTTTTTTGCCTTAGCTGCACACACTCTTGGCCTGTGAGGGAGAGGGTGGAATCTGGGAAAGAAGGGAAGGGGAGTCCTACACTTTTTATTGCGTTTGTGTTGGTGGAAGGTTTCATTAGTAAATACCTTAAGAGTCACGTTTACGGCAAATGGCAAATTGAGAAATTCTCAAATAGAAAATGAGCCTATAAAAACAGCTCAAACAATTCTTATCTACTGATAACTGATTTCCGTGCTGTTAAAATGAACAGTAAACGACACGTTAAGGAAAACCTTGGTCACGTGGTACATATTCACGATTGCCGTTTGCCGTAAACGTGATTGACCAAGGTATCTACTGACCAGTATCACATGACCGTGTCGTACAACTTATTGAGGTCACGTTTTTTTTAAAGTTCTTTAATGGCACTGGATCGCAGGGCTCAAGTCCTGGTTCTTCTCACAGGTATTCAGTGCACTCATGGGATTGTTTCTTGATTATGGCGGATTCAGTCAAAGCGCCGTTTCGAGAGGCAGTTTCCATTGATTTATTTTTCCATAAGATTGTCGAGATCGAGCGCTTTGCGTTACAGGTCGTCATCTTGGATTCCCGCGGCCCGCTCCTTGCGTACATATGAAACCAAGATGGCCGCCCATACAGGTAAACGCTCGATCCTGACGATCTTACAATAACGAATTACGATTCCATTTACGTGGAGAACGATATATTGATATGGATATAAAGATCTGAGAAAAATGCAAGCAAAGTCGCGTAAAGATCCTCGACCCCTGATCCATCATCCATGATCTTCTTTTTCAAGGAACTCCCGAAAGGCCCCAAACCATGCGCTTGCCCTTGATATTAATGAAACTTAAATTTTACTTCACTAACTTTCACATAATCCACTTAATTTATCCCAAAAATTGTACGCAAGCCTGGTTTCTAATTTCTCCTGGGTATAAAAGTCTTTCTAAGAGAAACAGAAGGCTTTGCTTAAGCAAAATTTTAGGGGGTAAATAATAAAGAAAAAAAAAACGGCGTTGAAACCGTGAAACCAAAGTTCTTAATGGACACACTAAACGACAACGTCGACAATGCTAAATGCTACCAAGTGAAAGCGCTTCATTCTACAATTTGCCGCCAAAAAAAATTTCCCGCGGGAGTATTTCTTAGCCGCTGACAAGGGAAATGTTTATATTGTTAAAGAGGGTAAAGGGCACGAATATTTGATAGCTTTCATCAGTTTGCTTCTCATTCAAAAGTAGTGCATTCAGAAGATCATTTTTCTGAAGAAGGTTTGTTTGGGAGTCGGTTTTCCAAGTCAAGTTTCAAGTTCACGGGAAAGTGGAAAGCAGGGCGGATAAATGTTGGGCGGTGAAACGAG